GCTAAAAAATATATGTTTAAAGTTGAAATTTTAACTGGATATATTAAACACTATATTTGATGATGATTAAGCCTTGATATCTCATAATGGTAGATCATGATTTCTTCTAGCCAACCTCAAATAGTTGCGAAAAGCCTCTGAAGATGATGATGATGATCTAACTAAACATAAATATTCTTTTTTATTTAATTTATATGTTTAAACTTCAATATATATCTATTAAATTATGTAGCTAAGTTTAAATAATCTAATGTATGCATAAAATTAAAGCCTAGGCTCTAAACAATCAAATTAGAGCCCACCTTCAAATAGTATCGGGAAATGTGGTTTCGATATTAGAAATATTTGTGGTAGCCTTAAAATATATTTTTACTTTTATTTACAAAGTGAAAAGCTTCAAAAATAGTGTTAATCGACATATCTATGAAAACTTGAAAATCTTGAACATTGACGGTCCAAAAGTGCATTACAAAATACACTATGTCCAAAACTTGAAATCTATTTTTTTTTCATGTCCTTGCATCTTGATGTCGAGATGATCAATTTGAAGATATGTAGGCATCAAAACAACCTCTACTAGTGAAAATTTTGAGATATGCTCTAATTTGATTGTTTAAAGCCTCACCTCTATATAAACTTTTCCATGCATAAAATCTCTAGTTTTAAATAATCTGGCAATGGCACGTGCACTGCACGTGATTGAGAAAGCGAAAAATGGCGTATGCTATGTCTGAACCGTAAAGCTTGAACAATATGCACTTCTCCACCATGCATTTGTTTGCATTTGTCTCTCTAATTTACCTTTGGCTCTCACCACCAATAATCTCTTCCTTCATTAGGGTTGGGTACCACCAATAATGCCTTTTGTTGTTTAACTAATTCTCATATCCATTTAAGAATAAATGTGTTTGAAAAATTTGAAAAGAATGTTAAATTAATTCAACTGGTAGGTTTAATAATAAAAGTGCAAAATGTAACCATGAAACAATTAAACAATTAAACTTTTATAAACCTAAGTTCAAAGCAACCACCTTTCCCTAGAGTGGCTAAACTAATTTAGAATTGTTAAACCTCTATTGTGTACAAATAAGATACTCATTGTGTCGGAATTTTCTCAAACTCATACTTCATGAAATATTTTGCCACATATGCATGGAATTAAGAGCTCAATATTTTCCGCAACGGCTCTCAATTTCTCCTAAATAAAATATGTGATGATTTGTATATAATAATAATAATAATAATAATAATAAAAGCAATAATTTACATGGTATTAGTAAATGTGGAACACAGGGCATTAGTAACGTTTTGAGTACACCCAGAGAGAGGATTTATTTTGGTTGGGGGAGAGGGGGCGAGAGAGGAGGCTATTAATGAGTCCAAGTACATTTCTACTAAATAAAAAAAAGACTTCGCTTTATTTGTCTTGAGAGGTATGGAAGTTGTTTTTCTGTAAAAATAGTAATGAAAATGATATCAATAAATAATGTAAATCGCATATATAATTGTATGTGAAAAGTATCAGAGTTTAACATCATGATAGGATGATTTATTTCAATGTGACCCATTGCTCTAACCTTATGTTCTTGTATTTTATGGAGTGATGCTTTCAATTGGTTATTTGAACCATATACTAAGTCAAGGGAGTACAGGTTTTCTAAATTTCTATCACTAAAACAAAAATTAATGTATAGTCTTTCTACTATCTCTTGATCATTGAAGAAACGGTTGGCTTCTCTCTTTTGTTCCTTAGGCAACGTGGGTCTTCCTCTCTCTTGCTAGCAACTTTTCATTTTCCTCACAGTAAAGAAATATGAGCGCAGAGCCATCGAGAGAATTCTGAAAATTCTATCAAAGAAACCCTATAATTTACTGAAGGAAAAAGTTTATATAAGGATACTACCTTATAATGTAGAACTATGGATGCCCTAAAAAATCCATCGGAAAAGGTAGTTTTAATGTTGAAAAACTCTTTGATTGATCATCTCAATGTCGAGATCTATGACTATGAAAAATAAAAAGATTTTAAGTCTTAGAAATAGTGCATTTTACAACATATTATCTACACCATCCATTTTCAAGATTTTCATATGTTTCTAGATCTACTTGATTTTAACCATTTTTTAAATTTAAAATTTTATAATTAGATATAAAAATAGATTTTGAGATAATCCTAAGAACATTTTACATCAAAATTATGTACCATGATAAAATTTGAAGGTGCACCTTATCTCCACACCTACGGATGCATCTATATTCAAACTGCACCCTTTACTGAAACACAATACACTTAA